ACTTTAGCATGTATTTGGACCACTTTCACCAATTGGTTATGTACCTCTCGGACTTTACTGATCTGTATAGTTCTGGTGATATGGTTGCGACATGTCCAGTTTTCCTAAAAAACAGATAACCGTTTGTTGGGAAGTACTTCCTAGTCGAACAGCTTTTGTTGGATTAGTCTCAACTTGAAACATCCATATAGTTAAGTACTATTTCACTATCATTGCTTTTTAATATTTCTCTCGACCAATCGACATGAGTCTTTCTTAAAGCGAATGACAAATTGTATGGGATCCAACGTGAACAAGGTTTTTGTATGATCAAATGCTCATGCAATAATGAATGTATGCTGGTTCCACTAATTCTTATAGTTTTCTTTATCTGACTTGCAACGCCATTTTGTGACCAGCATCAATAGTTTAAATTACTGCGTACAACTGATTTTGAACGACCTTCAAGAAATTTCTCTTGAAGTGATCAACGAACTCGTTTGAGTCCAACAGACAGTTGATAAACACTTGATAGGACTAATGATAGGACTTAATCGTCGAAAATTGCTTTAAGTTCATAGATACCCTCTTGGTGAGTTAATTCCTACCGAAAGTAGTAAAATTGACATATTCCAATATTCTATATTTTTCAGACTTTTCATCTTCGGAACATTACTTGTTCCAGTGGTTGTATGTTTTTTGTATGGGAGAACCTTCACTTCAAATCATAACGTCAAAAACTACTTGGATCAGTTTTTTGACTGTAAGAATGAAGAATTTTATGAACGTGGAATTAATCTCTGACCAGAAAGAGGACAAGAGATATTCGATCAAAATGTATGATATATAATTTCGTATAAAAATCGTATTTAAATTGCGCTGAAATAAAAACGAGTGGATTAGGAGAAGAACCCCACCATCGCTTCATTCACAAATAATTTATTTTAAAGCTGAATTGTTAAATATTTAATCGTAAATCAATCGTAATAAATATTCTAATATATTTTGATTGCTTTTATTTTTATTTCTATTTTTTTAATTTCATCTATTGCTCTAATTTATGCTAACTGTTTGTTTTTTGACAATAAAATTATGGCATTAAATCTAATTTGATATATTAAAAGATAACGGAATAAGCACTTTTGTGTGACTTAATTTGTCAAATTTCTTATTTATATGTATTTATTTGTTTTTTTCTCCGTTTCATGTATTTTGGTAATCGCATTTTTTGTTTAATGCAACAAATGCTTTTGATCGCAACTTTTTGTGGCAATATTAGTTAATTTAATAACATTTTCGCTTCACTGAACTCAACACTTTTTGTCAGATTATTAATTTGCATTTAAATGAATCAATTCAACTCAATTCGATAATTATTTCTCTTTCACAAACACATTAACATATTGTGTAAGGGTGTTTGGGGCAAAGCAAAAAAATATTACGCTTTACTTTTGCAAACCAAAAACAAAAACAAAAAACTTATCATATTGATGATAATGTTTGTGAATATATTAATGAGATATGACGATAATATTTGAAGGTGAAAAAGAGTTACTTTTTTATTTTATGCTAAATGAAGGTTAACAGGTCTTGAGCACATCTTTTCCTGTTCGGAGGAGATATGGATCAAGGTCCATGCAGGGTGGACCTCAACAAATGATCACAACGCCAGGATTGAAGCCTCAAAAGTTTATGCTGAGTATTTGAAGAGATTTGAAAGGAATAATTCACTATGAGCTGCTCCAGCCTGGTCGAACGATTGATTCTAAATTTTACTGTCAACAACCGATGATATTGAAGCAAGCACGGCCAGAACTGATCAACAGAAAGTTTTCGTCTTACATCAGGACAAGCTCGGCTGGGACGTTTTGATGCATCCACCACATAGCCCTGACCTTACACCATCGGTGTACTAGTTGTTTCGGTCAATGGCGAACTCCTTTAATGGCGTAAAGTTGGCTTCAAGACAACCCGTTGAAAATTACTTGTCGCAGTTTTTCGTCGAGAAATGAGAAAAGTTTTACACTGATGGAATAATGTCTCTAGTGGAAAAATGGCAAAAAGTGGTAGACGAAAATTTTACAAATGTTATTGAAACTCATTATAAATTTTAAAAAAGTTGAAGTTGGATTAGAAGTACGAAAAGACTTGTTCGACTACCCTTTAAGTCACTCTGTGCAACATGTTGCAAGTGCATAAAAAATACTTCCCTGAAATGTGTAAAAGCTTCTGTTTTCTGCTTAAATGCAAATTACTTAACTTTGCCCATTTTTTAGGCAATAATTAAATTACTGAGCGCATTATTCAGAAAGTTATATACATAATTCAAGTTCCAGGTAAATAAATATTTTATTTTTTTTTTTGCAGGAGAAATGTGTTTTTGCATATTTAAAAAATTGATTGAATAAATTGAGTGATTGCTCTTTTTTGGCTGCAGCTTAACTTTTTACACGTTTTTTATGTTTAGTGTGTATTTTTAACTATTTATGCGCTACCCTTCAATTAATTAAAATCATAATGTTGTGATTAAATTAAATTAGTGAACTCGTCGGAAGCACTGCAGCAAAAATTCAAGTTAATATTTTAAAATTATTTACAATTTTTTTCCCTCATAATAAGATATGCATTATTGATGCATAAGCTGTGGGTAAACAAGTGTATTTATTATTTGACGGGAAAATATTAATTTTCAAAAAAAAAAAATTAAATTATGTTCATGAGATTATTATTTGGAAAAATTTGACGGAAGTAAAAAAACAGTTTATAAAGTTGTTTTTAATAACACTAATAATTTATAAATGCTAACAGTAACGTTCATATAGTGCCAAATACATATTAAGTTGTCACAAAAGTCTTGCGGTATTTTCGCTAGTTGGCGCCGAGAGCACGTACTTCTAGTTTTATTCGTCGTATCGGGTCATGCTATACCTTTTTGGAAAGCTCATTTCATGCGCTAACACATGTATGATTGATTGTCGTTTCTTTTAAGTCGTTCGTGAGTTATAGCGTCGCAAGCATGGAAGTATTTCTTCGGTTCATACGATTTTTTTGTCAGTCCGGCTCAAATGTGATCAGCTGGTAAACTAAGATATCAAATGGATCAAAAAAAAAAAAAAAAAAAAAAACCAAAAAAGGTTACGAGTTCAAACAAAAAGCTACACTTTAGCAGCATTATTGGTCCAATTAGATGTTTCCTGGTTTGAATTTGTAAGTTAGACGCCAAACGTATACTCATTGTATCCCAAGTATTCCAATTGGCCTTAATTCGAGTAAGCCAGCCAATAGGAATTTAAAACACTGTATTCACACAAAAACTGTCAAACAGAAAATATGTAAATCCACCCTTCTTGACAAAATTTTAGAATTTTTTTAATATATGTAGTAAAAATTTAAATTTGGAGATATAACCACTACCAGCTCAGTGTAGATCCTTCCACGTAGATTAGACTTTCGAAAAATTGCAGCAGCCTGCAGTAGAGCCTCAGAAAGCGTGCGCATCAGTTTGAAAAAGACGGCTTCGAGAAAAATGTATTGAAAGCTTTGTCGAGCTAATCGGATGCCGGGTCGACTAAATACCTATGTTCCAGAAAATAATTTGAATTTAGAAAAATACTCTAGTATACATATTTTTAAATAGTTGAACTTTGAAAATATTATATAAGAAGAGAAAAAATCGTGTTCTTTTTTCTGGTCTACAGTAAAATTCAACAGAAGCAGTTCCAGTTGAGTCGATTTGTAGAAAACAATTGACTATCGTTTTTATGTGGTCATATACAAGTACTCCCACTACTAACAACCTACACTCCTTATTTCATTCTTTCCTTACCTGTCTTACTTATTCTCACATATCTCTATTTCTCATTTCATAATTTCCATACCTGCTAATTGATCTTGTTTTTATTCTTTCCTTATACTAAATTCTGTTCTTCTGTTAAATAAAAACAACAACAATACATATTTGCACTCATTAGTTTTAATCCCGTATATGTTAACATCTTAGCTGAAAGGATTGGAAATTTGTGTTAATTAATCGATTTACATACGAAAATAATGGACTTGTGATTACATACATATATAAAAGCCATTGTCTTCACAAACGCAATGAACTCTTCGAACTGTTTATTCTAAACACGTTGCGATGTGCTGCTTGTTACAAACCAATGTGTTGCGGCACTATTTTCCAAGTTTATGTTGTACAAATTATCACCTAAAATGCAAAACAACGTATCATCAAAAAATCGAAATTGAATTTTTTATTGCTTACGATTCACTACATCATAAAAATAAATTTCATTGGAAAAAATAACGAATTTAAAGCTGCTTTCTCAATATCTGGTTACCAGTAATAGAGTTGTCCGCTTAATGGGTCCTCCATTAAATAGAGCTTTCACAAATTACTTTATCTATGAGTTGTTTTTACCATCCTATCTTCTAAATTGGTACGAACTGGACACAGTGTGCTAAAAATTTTTGCCTTTTTACTAAAATCGGTTGAGTAGTTTAGCAGTCCATCGCGGACAATGAGCTTGCGACTACTTCTCATAAAGTAAGATATTGAAAAAACTCAACGTAGAAATCGCATCCTCAAGAAAAATATTTTCAAGCAACAAAAACAGCAACTCAAACTCACCAATGCTGCAGAGATATTGAATATAAAGTACTCTCATAGCACAAGAATATCACTTCGATTATACAATTTTTCATACCAAAAGCTATTTACTGTACCCATTTAATAGTTTTCTTTATTTCTAAAGCTATTTTTTTTCTTCCCAGAGATATTTTCAGCGAATTAGCTGTCAGCTACTACCCATAAATCCGTTCCGCATCCTTGTTCCTTGTTCCTAGGGCTGTCGGTTCCAAGTAAGCGGTACGCATCAAGGTTTGTAACCGCATAAACAATCTCAACACAGAAAAACTTTCTGCCGCTACAATAACAACAACCACCTACTTACATCTCCAGCACCCGTCCGAAGCGTAGCCACATAAGCGCTCGCTTTTCCAAAATCAATACACATTTTAAGTTTATGTTTATATTTTAGTTACGTTTTGATGGCTATATTATCGCATTATTCTCGTTTATGTACAAATTTTAAATACAACTAAAAATTATTTTAAATACACTATATATACTCTATAATAGATAAACTAACTTTGCGTTCATTGGATTGTTGTTTTTAATTATATAATACTACTATTTATTTAGTTTAGTGTTTCACATACTTTTTGCCGCCCCAAAGCATGAGGCATACATGTGTCTACATACATATATATATGTAAGTGTGTGGGTGTTTGTGTGTTTCGTATAATTTTCAAGTAACTGCACGCTTGCAGATACTAATTCGTTTATTATTCGCTAAGTAACTAAGTTTACGCTGCTCGTAGTTCAATTAATATTTTTTCTATTCTTTTGTAGTTGCGGTAGTATTTGTGTGTGGCTGTGTGTGTGTTTCACACTTTACATTCAACGAAAAAGTGAAAAAAGTCGCTTCCTCTGCTTCTGCTTATTACGAAAATGCTTTTCAAGTAAGTATAAACAATAATTGTAATAATAGTTCATATAAATTTAAATAATTCTACGCAGAAATAGTTTACAAATTAAACATTACGCCCTATACATAACTATACATTATACAAATACAACACACAATTGCTTTTAACTACTTTAACTTTAGAGTATAGTACAATATTTTCAATATTTCACACATACATATATGCACGTAGGTGTGTGTATGTATGTATATATAGTTTTAAATTATTTATTTAATATCACATTGAATTTGAAAAAGTGTTTCAACAACAACAACAACGCGCACCACAAGACGCCCGCGCTCAGCCACTTGCCATGCGGGCGGCCGTGTCGCCACACTGTTGCATACATAAACAGACATGATCATACAACTCGATAGATTTACATATCATAGCATAACTTTTTATATAAATTTCATATATATATATACAATATACATATAAATACATATATATATATATAAGTGTGTGTATGTGTATATTAATAAATTTTTAACTCCTATGGAAAGTCTTTTGCTTCTCACATCGAAAGTGCGCTGCGCTGCGCCGCTGCTTTTGTTTCCTTTTGTGCGCGTTCTGTTCACACTCTGGCATGTACATGCCTACATTTAGCTTTATGCATGTATATACATACAGACGAATACATATGTGGCAATGTGTGCTGAAGGCATGGCTAATTCATGCATGTTGCGCGCTGCATGAGTCGCGTTGTGTGTGCATGTGTTCGTGTGTGTGTTGGTGTGTTGGTTCGCGTGTCGCCGAACATGTTTTCAACCGCATAAACATAACGTTTTTCTATATTACAATAAAAATGTTGCTTAGTTCTTTGCGCTTTCGCGTTGGTCCGCTAAAGATGGCGGCGTCATCGTTGTCGTGTCGTGAATGGCTTGCAAAGCTGCCTCAGTCAAAACACAATACATACGCTATACATATATGCATTTGAGCGAATCTATGTGTATATATAACGTAAATAAGTGGTACGTACTTAAAGTACGCGGTGTGGCAAATGGAAGTGGTGGTGATGGTGATGGAGATGGTGGTTGGCAGTGTGCTGGCAAACAAAGCGTGCAGCAATAATAATAATAACAGCAACAAACGTACGTACAATGCCACTTTGGCTGCGGTAAGCGCGCATTCAACTCACGTTAAGCGCTCCACAACAACAATCAACTCATCAGCATGCCTGCCCTTTTTGCGTGCGCTTTGCAGCTGTAGTTGTTGTTGTTGCAGCAAATGCAGTTCCTGCTGTTGTTGGCCGTTGTTGTCGTTGCCGTCGTAGTACTGCTGCCACAGCTTTTGTGGCTTTCATTATACCAAAAACGCTTGTCCATTGTTCTTGTTCGCCGCGCTTGAGCTCCCCAGCGCCTCGGTCGTCGCTGTGACGCTGCCATTGTCCACTTTGGCAGCTGCAGCTGCCGCCGCCGCAGCGGATGTGGATGCTTGCGGTTGGGGCGTTTGCGCAGCCGCAGATGTTGATTGTGTGCTCGTACTCGCCTGACTCAAATTGCTGCCGGTGCGCAAGTGTACGGGCGCTGTGCCCGCGCTCTGCTGTTGATTGGTCGACGTTGGCATTGTCAACGTTGTCGCTGTTGTTGTCGCGCCGGACATTAAATTCGCCGATGATGGCGCTCCTGCCGCGTTTTGTGTCATACACATTGATGGCCGCCACTGTTGCTGTTGTTGTAGTTGCATGACCATTGCCTGATGGCCAACCGTGCTGGCGCGAGGGTTGGTCTGCGCATGATGGTGTACACGGTAGCTATTGGGTGCGAGCAATTGCTGTTGTTGCGGATGTTGTAGGGGATGATGCGACTGGTGGCCGTGGTGTTGCATGAATGTGGCCGCGCTGCCGCCATTCGGTATCATGGAGAGCGCTTCCTGCGGATCATAGGCGCTGTACTCCGACTCAATGCTGTGGTAGATATGTTCGGAAGGCGGGCGCATAGGTATGGCGTCGACAATGCGTGCGCCATGACGACTGGGGCGTGGCGAGGGTGTGGCTGTTGTGGCCGACGAGTAGTTGGCTTCCATATCTTCTTGGTAGTAGGCGGGTGGTGGTGGCGCTTGGCGGAAGATCATGCCCGGTGAGACGGGCTGCTTGAAACGTTCATGATGATCTAAGGTATAGTTATTACCGCGTGGTGACAGCTCAATTGGTATGGCATAGCGCAGCTTCTCCCAGAAGTAGCGATCGCAGGTGAGTAGGCGATTCGAGGGCACAGATTTTAGATAGGGCGCAAGCTCAGGCACCTCTTCGGCCTCGCTGGATACGTTCGTTTCTTCGATGATCACCAGTTTTTGTGCGAGTCCGCGTAGCGCCTCATGGAAGGCATTGCGGAATTCTAGACGATTCCACTCGGTCGACAGCAGATTGCGTGTGAGCACCAAGATGATCTTGCGTGAAGCACGTGCAGCCTCTACGATCTGCAAGTGGCTGGCTTCTGGTGGTAAATCACGTTGTTGTATGCACAGACGGAACGGTGGGCGTCCATGTTCTAACTCAGCGGCGATGTTGCGGCACACGAATTCATAGTCTTTTGCCGAATGTAAAATGATGGCGTCATACAGCTTGCCAGCATCCTCGAAGCGTGGTTCACATACACGCACGCCATAATGTGCAAATAACCACACGCGCACTGACTCACGGAAGACGAAAACAATAATCAGCACAACAATTAGGAAGATCAGTACCAACACAGCAGCAAGCAATGGCACATAACCGCCCGAGATATCTTGCGACGCCATATTACTAGCACTTTCTAAGAGCTCACTGCAGTCCACACCATTTGAGGTGATCAAATCGAGTTCACTCTTCACACCCGCATCCACACAGTAAATGTCCTGTGCGTCACGTATCACGATCGCATTGTCCGCCACGAATTGCGCCAACTCCTGCAAGAATTGGCAACGACACGACCACGCATTGCGGCCAATAGTTAAGCCCTGCAAATTGTTACGGTACTGCAAGTTGGCCAGCTGCGCAATCGGCATCGCCGTCATACGATTATTATCGAGTCGCAACACCTTCAGCGATACTAGCGGCGCGAATGTGGTATTCGAGATGTGGGTCAAGAGATTGTTGTGCAGGTACAATTCGCGCAACAGTGACAACTGACGGAATTCGTGTCCCTCCAGCGTTTGCAATTTGTTATTCTCCAAATGCAGTATGCGCACCATATTCAACTCGTCGAAAGTGCCATTCTGCACGGACATTACATTCGAGGCGTTCAGGTAGAGCGCGCGTAAATTACGTTTGCCTGCAAACACCTGCGCATCCAGCACTGGCAAGTTATTGCCGTCCAAGTAGAGATCGGTGACGTCGGTTGGTATGCGTGCGGGTAGATTAATGCGATTCTGTTTCCCACAGTCGACAATGTTTGTCGACCAGGTAGCGTCATGGAAACAGGTACAATTGTCTGGGCAAACCATTTCGCAGTCGCATTGTTCGAAATCACAGCAGTGGCACGTCGCCGGACAGTGGGAGTCGTATTTGCAGACAAAGTCGCTGCTGCTCAGCGCCGCCAGTTGACGTATGGGCGCATTCCGACTGTGCGGCATTAGACACTCAATATTGCCGAGGTCGACAATGCGTGGATGCTGGCGGGTGGTAAGATTGTTAATGCGTTGTAGCCATTCCATTGAGCAGTCGCACTCGAACGGATTACCGCCCAAATAAAACTCCGGCACTGGCTTATCGGTGGCGACCGGTGCGACGCGTAACGAATTCAAAGTGATCTTTGACAGCACGTTAGCATAGAGATCCACGCGCGCTAAGCGTGTTTTATCGACGAAAGTATTAGCTTGTATCTGATTGATGATATTGTTGTTGATGAAGAGCAGTTCTATGGAATTCGGCACGGACATAGCGCCGATTTCGGTGATGCGATTATGACTAGCATCTAGCGTGGTCACGCGTATCTCTTCCTGTAGTTTATAGTAGTTGCCGAGCGCCTCAATGTAGTTGCCATGTATGTCCAGCCATTTGAGATTCGATGGTATGAAGGCGTAATCGAACCAAACCAAATGATTTTCGGAGAGATTTAGCCACAGTAGGGTAGCGAGTGTTGCGAAAATGCCATTGATGTCCGTAAGAAAGTTCTTATCCAGACGTATGGCCTCGATTTCACTGTTTTTGGCGAAGGAGCCGCGTTCGATGGATTGTATGCGATTCTTAGCCAGATTGAGCACAGTCAAGCGTGGCAGATCGGTGAACATGCCAACGGTGATGTTGCCAATACGGTTGTCAATTAGACGCAGACCAGTCAATTGGCTCAGATTCTTGAATGTGCCATTCTTGAAATCGGAAATCTGATTCTCACCCAAATCGAGTGTCTTTAACATGGTCAAATCTTGCACGGCCTCAGGCACGTCAGCCAGCTGATTGGAGCTGAGATCGAGTTCCTTCAGGTCAGAGCAGTTGCGGAATGCTTGTGTCTCGACAATGCTGATCAGATTGTTGTTGAGTGTCAGTTTATTCAGCACAAACAAGCCATTGAAGATCTTATTATCCAGCGTGTGTAAGCGATTCTCGGAGAGTTTTAATGTATGCAAGTTGTACAATGGCAAGAAAGCGCCGTCTTCAATGTGGCCAATAGAATTGTTGCGCATGTCCAGTATTTGCAAGAAATACAGCTCTTTGAAGGTTTTAGCGCCCACACGTGTCAGCGCATTATTGGACAAATTCAGCACAATTAAGCGTATGAGTCCAGCGAACGTGTTGTTGTCAATGTGATGGCTTGTCAGCTGATTAGCGCTCAGGTCCAGTACCAGTAGTTGCTCCAACCGATGCAGCAGGCCTTTGGGCAAATCATACAATTCATTGCCCTGCAAATGTATCTCACGGAGCTCCTTGTTGCCTGCAAAGGCATCGGCGGGCAAAGTCTCCAAATGGTTGTACGACAAATTCAGTATGCGCAATGAGCTCAAACCCGCCAACGCATTCGATGCAAACGTGCTGATGTTGTTGTGCTGCAAATTCAATTGCTGCAGCCGGCGCAAACGGGAGGCGCCCCACACATCGGGCAGTGCGCGCAGCTCATTGTGCGACACATCCAAAACTTGCAATTCGGCGCCACCGCTGGCGCCATTCAGCGTGCACATCTTTTCCGAGAAGCCCAAATTCTCAGCGGAGCGTATACGATTCACCGTCAGATTCAACACTTGTAAATTTTGCATAGTACACCAAACGCCCTCAGGCAGTTGACGTATATTATTGTCACTCAAATTCAACTCGTTCAACTCGCGTAGACCCGCAAACGAGCTCGCTAATATTTCTAGTGACTTGCCCGGTCCCCAGACGGAGTTATGTGTCTGCACCGATAGCCGCTTCAGCGACATCAGACCATCAAATGTGTTGGCGGCGATGCGTTGCATTTTGCACGCATCCACTTGTAGCTCGGACAGCTTTTGCAGGCGCGCAAAGGCGCCGGCAGGCAATTCGCTGGCGTGCAGCAAATCGGCGGAGCACTGTATCTCCAAGCGATTGGCCGTTTCGGCGACTTGCAGATCGAGCGGCACCAGCGGTTCGATGGCGCGCAGATTGCACTTGATGTCGAGCGTTGTGCGCACAAACTCCCACGAGCATTGCTGTGCGTGCGTATAGCTGCCGGTCAGGCTGCTGATAAGGATGATGAGCAGGTAGGGTAGGTGGCGGCTGATTGCGCCGGCCAACATTGTTGTGCTGGCAGTGTGCATTGTGGTTTTGTGTATGTTTTTGTTTTTGGAGCACTTATTTTAGTTGAGGACTTGGCTGTCACTCGCACACTTTGCAATTTATAATGTTATTTTTCTTTCTAATTGGTTTATTTGTGTTGGATGTTTTATTTCAAAAATTTTTCTGCATTTACACTCAACAAATTCGTTTGCAAGCACTTCTTAATTGCAGATGGCATAGTTGCAACATGGCGCATAGAGCTTTTTCAGCGCGTATTATCTTTGGAGAAACATATTCTTCGTTAAAGTCACAGTACTTTTTGATTTTAGTTAATTTTTTATTTTCAATGTAATCGCTAAGTCAAACGCGCAAACCGTAATCCTTGGTGGCAAATGCGAGCGGAGCGATTTCGTACACACTTGCAGTAACTACTGTGGTACTTTTGTAATTACTGTGGCAGTAATTTGTATTTACAACACTTGTATATTTGGTGAACAAGGGTTCACCGTTTTTCAAATTCAATTTTAATTTTTTCCAATTCGTTATTTTATTTTCTTGCTTTTTAAAGAACTTTTTTACTTCACTTCAGCTTTTTTAACTTCAAGGAAGTTCTCTCGTTTACGTTTTGAATTTACGAAACTTTGAATTTTATTTAACAGCAGCGCGAAATACTTGGCTTCTTCTTTTACTTCAAGTCCAAACACTTAACCGAAATAAAAACGTTTCGTGTTCGTGCGTACGTCTAAGCTAGTTTGTTGCGCGACGTGCGAGGAATGGAATTCAATAACAACTTTTACTTAAAAACAAGAAACTTTCACGGAAGCGCTGCTATTTCAGAAAGCCATGTTTACCGCTTAACGTTTCAAAGAGAACTGATTACAAATTTTGCTCGTTGCGAGTCCGTTGGCTCGCTGTGAATTCCACTAGCCAACACTGCTGCTGACGCCACGCTATTTCTTTGCTTGCTGCTTGCTACTCTACACAACACACGGACTACATAGCACTCCTGCGCTCCATTTACAATTGTTTGTGTATGTGTGCGTGTGCTTCAATGTTGGTTGGATGGCCGATGACGACGTCGACTACGAACAAACAGGCGGCAGGCAAGTCCACGCACACACGAACTAGCACGAATGCCACACTAATAGCAATAGTGTTGTGCTCTGTGGGGAGAACAAAACCAAACACTCCAATAAGGCAACAAAAACAACAATAAGCACGGCAAAGCATTCCCAGAGCAGAGCGCAATTCTGAGTGTGTGTAGTTGTATTGAGTTTGGGGAGTATAGGTAGACAGCACGTAGTAATAGTGGTGAGTGCATTAAGCTAACAACAACAAAAAGTTATATCTGATATTTAAAACAACAACAAATACATGTAGATCTGTATGTACATAAGTGGTGCTGCTAATACTCTGAGCTGTTTGCGCTGTTTAGTAAGCAAGCTGCGCTGACGCGCTGTGAAGTGCATAAAAATATACAAACAGATGCATATACACAGTTATGTTGGGCAGTGAGAGAGCGCTGAGTGCCGAGTGCAGTATGCAAAGTCTTTGCATGTAGATGTGTTAATGTTTAGTTGAGGACATACATATGTACATATGAAGTAATGAGCGTAGAATCTTTGTTTTTGTTGTTTGTGTTGTACGCGTATTTATAACTACTACAACTAGTTTAAGACTATGAGATGTGAGATATAAGTATGTCATGTAAGGAAAATGACTGCAGACTGATAGGCCAGAAATTACAAACATGCATAAACATGTTTTATCAAGCATTTGCAAGCATACTAGACAAAAATAAAACAAGAAAAAATATATTAACAAAAAAAACAACTTTTGTAAGGCGAAAGGTTAAAGAAGTCGTTGACTACAGCAGCAATATGCAGCAGTACAACAACAACACATACTCCTTACCAACAACCATTTCATCCCTGCGCTCTGCTCTAACATTACGCTGCCATCGTCGACTGCGCTGCATCGTCCAGCCACTCTCAGCAGCATTTGCTCTTTTATAAACAACTAACAACAACAAATGCATGGAAATGCAACAGGAATTGCATGCATGTAAACAAATAAGAATGTGTACTCACCCACACGACATCAAATGTATGCATGCGCACCAACACAACCAAGAGCATATACGGATACGCATGTACATATACGCCAGCGACACATACGTACACCAACACAACAGCACTAAGTAGGGGAAATGCAGTTGATTGCATGTGTTCACTACTCAATTCATGCATGTTTGTTTGTATGTCTGTACATGTGTTCGTCGGCATGTTCATGCTGTGGCACTCGCATGCTTGTAGTCATAAAAATTCATATCACATTCCATACGTTTGTCAACAGCATAACATACTCGCTCAGCCGCTGGCTCTCGTACACGAGCTCTCTCTCTGCTGGCTTTTCGCAGCAAAACCGGCCGGCTATGTTGTCACTTACACATGCACATACTCACATTAGACTGCAGCGCAGGCATACGCGTACTAGGCGGCTGGTTTACCAATTGTCATTGCATACTTTGGAAAAATTGTGTTTCTGCTGTGCGGCGATAAACATTTTACGAGTTGGCGAGCAAGTGCAAGTGGCAGGAAGAAGTTGATTTTTATGTATTGTACAAATAAGAAATGTAAAAAATTATTTGTGACATAAAATAGAGAGTAAAATGATTTAAAACAAAAAAATGTGTTTTTATTGAATATTAAGGTCGCAAAATGCATACAAAAAGCAAAAATTAGAAAAAAATATTAAAAAAAAAAGAATCCAAAAATAAAAATAAATTATTTTAGAAATTATTGTGAAACATAAACAAGATTTCTTCTTCGATTTCATAAAAATAATAACATAATTTCTTTTGAAACTGTTGACATAATATTTTCGAATTCTCAAAATTTAGTTTCACTCAATGTGTGTTAAAATTTCGCGTCAATAAAAAAAAAAATTATACAAAAAGTTTATTTTGGTTGTTTAGTCTGTATTACAGCTATCTGATATATTTATACGATCTGGAATTTTATTTTCAAATATTCTAGCTTTGCTTTGGAAAATAATATTTTTTACAAATATCGTGAAGATATCACCTGAAATAAAAAAATCTTCCATCAAAAATTTTAATATGATCGTTCAGTTTGTATGGCAGCTATATGCTATAATGGTTCGATATCGGCGGTTCCGATAAATGAGGAGATTCTTGGAGAGTAAAAATTTTAAAGTGATATCTCAAAAACTTAGAGACTAGATCGCGTATATGCAGACAAAAAAACGGACATGGCTATATAAAGTTAGGTTTCCTGAGGTCGCTGATCATTATATACATATACATATATTTTATATGGTAGTATGAAAGAAACAAATTGAAAAAAAAAAAAAAATAATAATAGTAATTTTGGAGTCCAAAACACTGATTTTATGGAAGCTTGTAATTTAATCGACTCAGTGGGTTTATGTACATTTTTATGTTAGGAATATTAAATCAATGTAAACTCTTCGTTTTCTTACTTGTTCAGTGCGAATTATTGCACAGACTTTGCATACAAATAATCGTTCGGGAGAGAAAAAATATATAAATTCAGTAAAAAAAGAACGCACAAAGTTTCTTTCCTACGATCAAAGGTTAATATTATTTTATTAAATGCGCGTGTCTTGCATTAAAAACGTTTTCTATATGCATATATGTATGTATGTACATATCTTCAACGTCGCCAGCCTATAAAATATTTTATTAACAACAACAAAGTTAAGCGCAGTTTGCAACTGAAATGCAAACTTGTAGCTTTAATAAACTGTTAAGAAAATACTTTTGCCTGTGAGCGCCAAAGTACTAACTATTTTAATTAGGCGAGTGACAAATGTTGAGTTAGCAAACTTAAATGGAAATTAATAAATATTTAGTGCACACGATAGCGAATTTTATTAAGTTGATAATATCTATCAACTTCTAAAGTAGCTTGCATGAAATTATAAATGAAAGCTGTAGAAATTGCAACTAATTGAGAAATGTTCATCATCAAGTAGGCAATGAGAAATTTAGTTAAAATCTCAAGAGTAAATATTATATTATTAACGATTTAGTATAGGTATAAGGAAACAAAAATATTTTTTTACAAAAATAATAATATGAACAAAAATCATAAAATGATTGAACAGTGGCTTATGCTCCAGAGACACACCGTAGGATTAACAGGAAAAAATAGAATGTACAAGAATAAGTAGTGGTCCAATTGTGTAATGAAATTTATTGGAAAAGATGAGAAAAATACCTAGTGCATCATCATTGTGTCGTCATATCAATGGTAGCGCTTTCGTATTGCTTGAGGATGACGTTCCATTTATCTCGTCTTAAGACTTACATGTCATTATCTACGCCCTGGTCTAACTTTTTTAATAGTAGAATGTTTTCTATGTAATTCTTCATACTCATTCAGTTTTCCTGGTTTTGCAGCAGGACAGTTATAATGGTGTCCGCATTCAGGCGGTCACCCAAAGTATCTATTTACCTCTGTTTTCCTCGATTGCGTCATTGTACTTACAAGACGACTCTTCGCCAGTTCCTATTTCATGTAAGTATTTCCTCCCACGTCCGCATTTTCTGCCCTTCGAATGCTAGAGGTTAGTGTGCTTCTTCTTATTATCGGTATAGCTTCATTTGAGACTGTGTGGTATTCCGATACTATCCTTAGAGGGCTTTGTTATTTTTCCTCAATGAGTCTGGCCGGATGAACGCCATGAACCTGCTAAGCTGGAGATTTTATTTAAACACCAATTCCTCTTTCTCTGTTTACTCCGCGAGTCCCTCGTTGTCGAATACTCGTAATCTATAATGCGTTTGCAGGGACTCTCATCCGAGGCTGGTTTCCTCTTTTTATTGAGGGTGTTTTTTACTTAACGTGTCGCAAGCACAGTACGCAACCCTGTGGAGGTATGATTCGCATTTAAATGGATGTTTTTTGGCTACCCAGAGCCATATGTAAAATAATCATTTCTGGCCAATCCAAATCCCAAGTGAATAGCGGTCAGAGAACTTTCCTCACTTGCGTGAACTTCTACACACGGCTCCATCCTCCATATGTCATCACTACACCTTTAAAATTGCATGTTTAAATTTAGAAACTTACTAAATTTAAAATAAAATGTTAGAGCGCTTCTACCATTATACTCTTTTAAACTCAATTACACACATAAACTGTAAGTAACAGTAAACGCAGTTGAGTCCTTGAACTCAATTACAGTTTATTAAATAATTACTTAAACTTCATATTGCATTAAAAAGCTCTTAACTTTTCATTTTCATTACTATAACGTAAGTGCCTAGCTCACCACTACTCACCACTCTCCACTTACTGTCTTAATTTTAATAATTCTTTATAATTCATAATTTAATAATGAAACTTGGTGGGCTAAACGACTGCAGTTGCAATTAAACGGTCACCAGCATCGTATAACGGAGTGAAGGCGCAACAGTCAACAACAATAAAAGGGCGTACCAAGGCTGAAGCATACATGCCACCACCCAACACTCGTTACGCCAAAGTGCAATGCGCCGTTTACTGCTATTTTCGCTCGCAATGCAGCGCCATTGTGACAACAATTGTTGCACCAGCAGGCATACGAGTAATAGAAAGCAGCAACAACAACATCAGCAATAGCAGCAGAGAATGATATCCAGCAGTCCACCATAATTGAGCCACAACAATAACACCAAATGCAATAATAACAAATAACTGCAAGAATAAGAGCAAAATGCTGCTCGAATAAAAGTTGGCAACGACTCAGCGGCAGCGCGGCGCAGTCGACGACAACAGCTGAGCAGCGGCCGAGGAGGCGCACATTTTGTTAAAGGCAACAGGCGATT